GAGCACTGTTGAAATGCTCGCATGTTTTTGCACGAGCACAACAATTTAATTTTTATTTTTTATTTTTTTCATTTCATTATTTAAATGTTTTTTTTTTATTATATGAAATATTAATAAAGTGCTTATTTTCAATTGTAGATGGCAGGAGGAGGCCGGGGGAAAAGTCTTATGAGTCAAGTTGCCGGTAAAGGCAAGAGCTTAATGAAAGCCTTGAGCGGGAAGGGGAACAATCCGGAAGATCCGGATCGCATTGGAGACCGAGATCATGTAGCTCGAATGTTTCAATATCTTCATCTACATCTATGTATACTTCCTGTTTTTATATTAATGTAGTTAGCAAATTATAAAACTAAAGAATAAAACTCAAAAAAAAAAAAAATTAAAAAATTGTGTTGCTCGTGTGATTTCACACAAACAGAGACGTTCTGCTCGTGTGATTTCACACGAGCATACCTTCTCTGTTCGTGTGAAATCACACGAGTGGGTTAAAAAAAAACATTTTTTTTAGAATTTAAAAAAAAAATTAAATAGCTCGTGTGATTTTAAACGAGCAGGTGCCACCTGTTCGTGTAAAATCGCACGAGAGAATATTAAAAAAAAAAAAATTGTTAATGTGCTCGTGTGAATTTAGTGTGAATTTACGCGAGCACTTGGAAAGTGCTCGCGTAAATAATATGAGCACATGAATAAAAAAAAAAATTCATCTCCTCGTGTGAATTTACACGAGCACTTGCCAAGTGCTCGCGTAAATTCACACGAGCAGATAAGGTTGTGGGAAAAAACGAAAAACTTACATTCGGGTCTAAGTTGTTTGGATCCATCGCAAAAATTGTTGAATATCTGAAGTTTTTCACTTTGAATGTTGAGTTTTATATTTTATAGGATTGGGTAGGAATAGTACAAAAGGTAAATAGTTATGGTAAAAAGGTAAAAAATCATGGTAAAAAAGTGCCTGAATGTTTAATTTGGCCTGCGTATATTACTACCCAAGTGTTATTCATGAAAATATATGGAAGATAGCTGTTAAATATTACAGCTATAAAAATCTTAAGTGTCCATGGTTTTAAATTTTGTGTAATTTTCGAGCTTATATGAAATATTATCACTTTTGTACCGGTTGTTGATGTACCACCGCCTGAACGTCAAACGCCTCCACCGCCGGAATTGAAACAACCTTCCTCTCATAAACCGACAACTTTCCCCTCTACGGCCCCGACCACCGCATCGCGTGCAGAACTTCTCCCATCTGTTCGAATACACTTCAATTATTCAGCCATCGATTTTAGGAACGTTATGACAATTTGTGTAACTGAAATGCTATTCATAGTGCAACTTTTACCACCTTACAGTGCATTTTTGATTCATTTGTAACTAAAAAAAAAAAAATTCAAAATCCTCTCAACTCTCTCAAACACCCTTCGAATTCCCGCGAATTCAACGAGCAATCCGACAACGATTTAAGGTAAAACTCGAACTCCATTTCGACAATCCAATGTTTTATAGTTGTTTATTAACAAATTGCATCAATAATCGGTACGTTTTCATTGATTCCGAAGATAGCAAAAAAAATCTGTGTTTCGTGAAAAAAATCACGAAATTAAACAGAGAATTTCGTGATTTTTTTCACGAAATTATAATTATTTTTTTATTTCTTCTGCCTTTCGTGTATAATACGACAAAACTAAAACTTGAATTTCGTAAGTTTTCTTACGAAATTAAGCCTTTTCTTTTTGTTGTACTATGCACGAAATGTTTGTGTTTCTGGCGTTTTCTCACATTTCGTGGAAAAAGACACGAAATGTGTGCTTATATTTCGTAAGTTATCTTACGAAATATAAGCATATATTTCGTTTCTTTTTCCATGAAACAGTACATTATTTAAGTTTTTGTTTATTATTATTTAGACTGGCTTGTTTAGTGTCTTATTTAACAGATGACATGCAAAGGCAAGTCAAAGGCACGTATGTGAGCAGTTCGTGATGAGGCCGAGCATCAAGAGCGCGAGCGGATGACTATGTCTACACGGCGTAGGTGAGAGGTTGAGAGAGCTGGTGTAGTCGGATCATCGACTGCACATGCCAATGTCGGGCCTTCCCATACTACGGATGAGGAGGTTGCGGTCGACCCCGTTCACGAGACCGAGGATGTAGCTCGTGGTGGTTGTGGAGGTCGAAGTCATAGTCGTGTCAATCCGTATGTGCTAGATGGTCCATTTCCCGGTGGCCCGCGGGATCCGACTTTGATTCCGAGTTTCAAGTCGCACGTAGCGGCATATATTTGGAGGGGAGAAGTAAGTTAATTACTTGTTTTAATTTTAATATTATAATTTTTATATCTTATATTAAAATATTTTAATAGTCGATTAATTAATATGTGTTCGTAAATAAATGATTGTAGGAATGTACGGTTGGACGAGTGGAGTCCCATATTAGCTCCCTAACCAATTTCAACTACGATGCCATTGGAGTTGCCCTTGCCTAGGGGTGGGAACGAGCCGAGCTCGGCTCTTTTGGCCAGCTCGAGCTCGAGCTCATCGAGCCACTTTTTTTTGGCTCGAGCTCGAGCTCGGGCTCATTTTTTTTTTTTTTATTATTTAATTTTTTTTATTAAAAACATTTATTTTTTATTAAAAATTATTTATAGAAAAATTATAAAATAAATAATGAACTCTAGTTATATTTTTTTTTATTTTTCTATTATTATTATTATTATTATAATATTTTATATTATTATGAATTATTTAAGTAATATAGATTTATTTATATTTAAATACTAGAAATATTTATTATTATAGACTATTTACTATTTAGTTAATAATAATAATAATACAAATAAGAATAAGAATAATATATATATATATATTTGTTTATTTATACTAGTTATACGCACCGCGCAAGGCGCGGTGGCGGTGCCCAAGTGGGTGGTGAATATTTTGTACTTTGCTATAAAATGGAGTCGTGCAAAAGGTCGATGATGACATTGTGTGATTACCGATAGTCGTGAAAAGCCACATACTGGGCGTCGCAAGAAAAGGTTCAATAGGTTACAGAATAGAAAAACACACTAGACAAAAAGTGGCATTCGATGTGGTTGTGCATCGCCCCCTGTTTTCTTCCCCTTAATTTTCAGTATCGCAAAAGTATTTTCACGTAACGACATTACAATCTGCAAATCATATAACCATTCTTATATACAATTGTTGATTAAACAAATTAATATAATATACCTAATTGATTGTCAAAACAGCAAATCATATAATTCAAGCCTCAACTTTGGGATGGTAGGCAATACAGTTTGACTGATCATAAGTTGCTCGGCACACAATCGATGTAACACCCTCATAAGTTGCTCGGCACACAATCGATAAAAAAATGTTGCTCCCCTCGCATGGTAACTATGGTAAAAAAGATGATCTACGAAAAATTAGAAATTAACGCCCAAAGACATGGTAAAAATAAATAATAAATTATGCAGCCCCTGTCATTTTGTTCCCTTCTCCATCTTTGTCCTTTTTTTTGCAACTGTGGTGAAACATGAAGCCCAAAAAGAGTGGACAAGAATTGAATAAGATACTTCCCCACTATTTTATTCATACACATGAAACTTTTTTTTTTTTTTTTTGCAAAATCAATATACACAAATAAAAAGGATTTCTCCAGGCAATTAACCACAAATCTGAATAACAAAATTTAGAGAAAAAAAAATATTCAAACATAGAAAAAATTACATATAAGATGAGAAACTCCAAAAATAAAGAACGGAAATATTACATCACACAAAGGTAATGGAGAAATCAAGACCTTGAAGAGAGGTAGTCTGTGGTATCGAGGTGGAGAAAGATATAACAAACAACTTGATTTAATCTTCGAGCAGGCTGCTTCTGATGAAAAGGGAAAAGAAAAGAATGCACGATGCTGATTGGGAGGAGGGGAAGAGACGACGCCGTTTCCTGAATAAACCGGCCAAAGAAAAAGGGAAAATAATTCCGGCTCGGCTCGTTTACCACCCCTACCCTTGCCCCATTAGACATAGATGTCACTGCAGATAATCATTTTCTGCGAATGACCGGTTTGTACCTCTAACCCGCTCTTTCCTACCGCACATAGATGGTCCGTTGATGTCTGCGTTCGTGGAGCAGTGGCAGCTGGAGACGAACAACTTCCATATGCCGTGGGGAGAGATGACTATCACTCTCCACAATGTCCAGATGATACTAGGTGCCCATGTGGAGGGACAAGTGGTTGCACCTAGGTACGACGAGAGCACCGAGCGGGCAAAGTGCATGTATTCATTGTCGGAAATTGTGAAC